ATAATCAAAGCGTGTAATTCGCTATCCATGGCTGACGATTTACAAATTCCTTTATTTTGACCTGAACCTAAATACGTTCCTCTTTCATTTGTAGTTATGAATGAACCATCGTAGTTGCATTTAATCGATCTACACCTCTTGGCCTTTAAGTCATGGTCTCTGGTTGACCAAAAAAAAAAGAAAGTCATGTCTCTGTTTCATGGTTAAATCTTTGAGATGCCTTGAGTATATAATCTTCCACATTGAGCCACTCTTTGCAAATTCTACTGTTTTTTTTTTGCCAAATTCATTTTGGAAGTATTAAAGAGAACTAAGAATCCAAAAATTCAACACAAAACAAGCCCCATTTTTCACCAACAAAAACTACATCTTTCCTTAACTGTTAGATTTGTTTCTACAACAGATCAGACATGTCTACGAAGCCCATGTTTGTGCAATTAGCAAGTCATGAAAAAGAAAGATATGTAGCAAACATAAGAAGAAACTAAATTACCAATAGACAAAAATACATAGAATGAAAACTTATATTACTATCTAAGATAGTGAACAAGCTCTCAATGGTCTTTAACTTACATCAACACAAATTTAAAAGGAGCAATCACATACTAATATGGAATTAACCACGATTGCTTGTTTTTAGGGTAAAAAAGAAAGCATTCCTACAAGCATCTCTGGACCAGTCATACAGTCTAAATCAACGACCACGATAGAAGAATCAGAACCAAACAACACTCTCAGGGGTTAACATTCCATAAACATACTAAAGAGATCACTGATCACCGACGTTAATCAGTTCATATTCAACAAGAGACAGATTGTTATCCTCTTTGACTGTGAAAGACGCTGGTTCCGTGGCTTCGATGAGTCCCCATTTATCAACTGCGAGCCTCATTGTACCCTTGAACATGTCTATCCTTGAATTGCGCAGTATCACCGTTGCCCCTGGCTTCATAAGATCAACTATACACAGAAAGAAAATATCAGAACCATTATCAATCTAATCAGTAGGACACAGTACGACGACAATAACTTTTCTACAGGAAAAGTTTATATAGAAGATTCAATTCAACATAACTCCAGATCTAAGCAAGCAAGTTTCACCATTACTAATTGCAAGACCAAGTACATAGTACAACTCCAGTCAAATGGTATTATACAAACCTCAAGGAATTGAAAGACATGACAGTGAAACGAAACGATGCAGACAAAAACCAGTCTTGTGAAGATTTTCACAGTAGTTCCATTTCCATTTTCAGTCAAGATGATGATAGGTTTATGTAACATTTTCCAGATATCTTACAAGATTAATCAAACATTTCCCAAAATGACAAACAGAAATGGACGGAGATATACGAGACTCATCAATACGGTTTCTATATACTGAAGAGGAATGAGTCTACCTTGATCGTTACGAGCAGTGAAGAGAATACATCCAGTTTCGTCGCCGATGAGACACTCAACGATTCGACTGGGCTGAGACGGCCGACTGAGAGAGGTCGCCGGACGAGCCTTCCGGTTGACAGGAACCACCGTATTGGCATCAACGACCTTAACAGTCAAATTGTGACCATTCGTTCCAGGCTTTAACTGTTCAACCTTGACAAACACCGGTTTTCTCTTGGTCGTCGTCGACGCATCAGCCGCTCCAGTCCCTGTCGTCGCCATCGCTCGGTAACAAACGGCTAACCAAAGATCTCGTGGTTCGCCCTAATTGGTGAAATCGATAAAATGCTTTGGGAAGTTAAGAGAGGAATTTAGGGTTTATAAAGAAAGGCGACGACGCTCTCTCTCCCCAAGACGAACGGGTACTTATCACCTGCTTTCACCGTATCATGAACTTGCCACGTGTCATGTTATTATTCGATATATTTATATATTTATCACGTTACATTACATATCTGATTAATCAATGCAGCTGTTTATTAACTGGTTAACATATACTAATTCATATCTTGAAACTGAAAAGACACTACACTATATATAACTATAAAGCAAGCTTCTTTGGTCATTCAGACTCTGCAACCACCGCAATCGCTTGCTCTTCTTCCATTGACGGCGCCGGCGACTTTGCCTCCGGTGATTCTTGTTGCTCCGGGAGAGTTTGTTCTTGCTGTTTCTCCTCTTCTTCCTCGGAATCTAACTGTAGATTCTGCCTTCTGTATCTGATTACGACCACAATGATAAACACTGCAAAATGGAAATATCTTACTATTAGTTTGGAAACTGATGATTACAGATTAACAAATACTGATGTTGTTACCTGTGAAAAAACGGGTCTTGAGACTAGTCAGGTTCCAGAATGCAGTAACTATAGAGCCTGCAACGATCTTCTTGTGTGTGCAAATTCCCCATGCTTCAACTATTCTCTTTTGTGCACTTTCCACTACACAACAAGCAAACATCTTTTCTTTATTTTTCCACCAAAGAGTAACTAAAATCTGTTAACAGAGTTTACCTTTTCGGTTAATCTGACTCGCATAACATGAATATAGCTTTGGAACGGTGAAGCTGATGAAGAAACCTGTTTCAGTAAAAGCAACAAATTGCATATAATTGGTGTCAGTTCTACTAGATATACAACTACAATAACACAAACGGTCCGCTAGATTTGTTTGAATTTAATGATCCAATAATCATACCAAATGCACATAACCTCCACAATGTTATGAGGTAACCATACTCAGCTCCAATTATTACAAAGGGTGCCACCTGAAATCAAAGTTAAAAAAAAAAAAAAACAGCATAAGAAGGACAAATTCAATGTGTGAATCACACTCAATAGAGATAACAGCGATTTTTTTTTGTGTGTATTCTTTCTACTTTTAGTGTCATTGCTGGTTCCCCAGAGAAAAGCTCCCTCGTCTTTGAAATCGCTAAGTTGGTGATGGGAAGTATCCGTCTCGCTATTCGTAATACATCCTCTTCACTCAGTTTAAGCTCTCTCCGAGTTGCTTCTTCCGTTACCCTTCAAAGTAACAACAAACGGATCAAAACTTCAATTACAAGCAGCTGGTTTTTATATGTATCAGGACCCAAAAAGTTTGTACCTTTGGCGAAGAGTGTTTGATAAGAACGAAACCCCAAGAAACAAAAGTCCAAGATATGAGATTGCTGAGAAAACACTTGAAAAACAAAAAACAACAATCGTTTCATGAAGAACTCACGAGTCTGATATAAATGATTGAAGGTAGAAAGATCAAATCTTGATAATGAAATCAATGTACCTAAAGTTAACTCCTTTAGCAAAGCAAGAAGATAGGAAACATATACATCCGAAACCGAACCAGAGAGTAGATTTCGCAACATCTCTCCACATGATCAAATCACTGATATTCTCTCTGATCTTCTCCAAATCACCTTGACAAACATCTTCATGGTCTGATTCCATACCAGAATCATCGAGCAAGAAACAAGTATTATAAAGTAGAACAAAGAAAATGAAATTGCTTTCAAACATGAGCTGGAGAAGTTACTTAGATCTGAAGGTGGACAAGAAGGAGCCGAACAATGCTTCTCCTTGTTAGAACGACCACTCTTCTTTTGTTTTGTCGGTTTTGGGGTTTGATCGTTACCTTCCTTCGTTTCCACCACCATCTCCGACCTTCGTCTTGATCTCCGGCGGTTCCTGGGCGAGGCAGAGGCCAAAAGACCATTTTGCCCTCCCTTCGCCCTGCACCGTCTTGCCGCCTCGGCAGCTTCCGTTTCGAAGCGATTGGTTAGACGGGTTCTGGATTTACGGAGAGGGGAAGGAGACAAGAGGAGGATTTCGCGAAGGGTAACAGGAGAAGACGGGGAATTGAGGGAAACAGGTGATGGGTAAGGAGTATCGTTCTTGTTCTTGTTCTTGTTCTTCGGAGAGGATAGAACCAAATCGAGAGATGGAATGTGAGATTTGACGAGAGTGTTGTTGGCTCGAGCGAGACGCGACACGGATCTAGGGTTCGAACGGAGGGAAGGAGGCGTAGAATCCATCTTATATAGTAGGGTTTTTGGAAAAGGGATAAACTTGAGGTGCGATTAAATGAGAGGAATCTCACGGAATTTATTAGGGTTCTTGAAGAATAACGGGATTTAGTGATCCTTCTCCGACAATGTGAGCTTTTTTTTTGTTGGTCTGTAAGAAAGAGTGTCTCTGCTTTGTTTCCGACTACTGTGGATCAGATAGCCGTTTAAGAAAGAAAAAGGACAAATCTTTTGCTTATTTGAATATTGACGGCGGCAAAGTGGGGTCCGTCTCTTTTAACGGTAAAGATGAAAGTTTTCTTCACATGTATCCAATAAAATGGGACATGAAGGATATTATTGGTAAACAATAGAAGAATTGAGAGAAATGTAGAAGAATATAATTGAGAGGGAAAAAAAAAGAGAATCATAGTAATTGAGAAGCATATGGTAAAAAAAGAAAAAGTTAACTTGAGTGGTAATCATTAGAGTATTCGAGAGTAATTGAAAATAAGTGAATAAAATAGAATAATATTTTAATTTTCTTTTAAAAAAGTAAGTTATTAAAAAGGTTGTTTTGAGTAACAAAAAT